TACCCTGCGGAGATCGAGGTGAAGTGGTTCAAGAATGGGCAGGAAGAGACGGAGCGTGTGGTGTCCACGGACGTGATCCAGAACGGAGACTGGACCTACCAGGTGCTGGTGATGCTGGAAACCACCCCGCAGCGCGGGGAGACCTACACGTGCCAGGTGGAGCACGTCAGCCTGCAGCACCCCGTCACCCAGCACTGGGGTAAGGCCCTGCCCTGTCCGGCACCCTGGGGTGGGGCCCCAACCCCCTGGTCCAGGCGGGGAGGGGGACAGGGACCCCCCAGCGCTGACCCCCTGCTCTGGTCCCCGCAGAGCTGCAGTCGGACGCTGGCAGGAGCAAGATGCTGACAGGGGTGGGGGGCTTTGTGCTGGGGCTGATCTTCCTGGCGCTGGGGCTCTTCCTCTACATGCGCAAGAAGGTGAGTGGTGGGGACACCGGGTGGGGGGTCCCTGGGGTTGGGGGTGTCTCCTGTGAGCGGGGCGGGGGCTGCCCCTGCTCTGACACTGCCCGTGTCTCTCTGTGTTTCAGGGCGCCCCGTTCCTTTTTTTGTTCCCCAGGCTGCAGGTAACGTCCATCTCCCCACCCTGCTCCACCTTCCCTGCATGGGCTGGTCCCCCCCTGCTCCCAGGGGCAGCGTGTCACCTAATAGCACCGGGGCAGAGCCCTGGGGACACGTTGTCCCCCATCCCGGTGGTCACCCCTCTTCTCTCCCCACAGGGATCCTGAATGAACTCCTGTCCCCATGGATCTTCTCCACCGCTCTTGGTCCTCTGCCCCCCAGCATCACCTCTCCCCCGCTGTCACCTGGCTCCACCCTGCACCGCCCTGTCCCGCAGCCCCATGTCCCCGCACTGATCCCCGGGGTCACCCCCTCCCTCCCATCCCAGCTCAGCTTCGCTGTCGCTGCCCTGCAGCCCCGGGGTCCTCAGGGCACAGCGATGGTGGCCTTTGGCTGCTCCGGTTCTGCATCATAAAGTGTCCCAGGACCCTGCGGCCCTGGTTGTTTGGGGGCAGTGGGGCAGG